ATCGTTTAGTTGGGTTTAAACAATATAGCGTCAAATCAATTGTCTACTCTATCGGTTGTATCTTAATATACATTACACTTTAATGATACTATAATGATACTTTAATGATAAATTTTAGTACTCATATTAAATGTATTGTAACTCGAAAAATATTTGTTTAAATGAAAAAAAATAAAATATATTTATTGTTTAAAATTGTCTTTTAAACAGTTTTTGTACGACACTTTTTTTTTTAAGTTAAATATTTTTTGAGAAAATTAAAAAAGCTCATATTTTTGAACTTTTTGAGGCTGTAAAAAAAAAGCTCAAGTCCAATCGATGAGGACTTTTAGTATGTCATTATACATATCTTAATTCTACTTTGAAAAAAAAAAAAATTTGGTTGGGAATTATTTCCGCCATTTTTCCTTTGTTGACTGGCTTAGACATATTGACCGTGAATATTATGTTTATTTACAAAACCAAATTTGATTATTACAAATAATCAAATGTATGCTACGTTAATAGCGGATATAAACAATATCTCCATATACGGTCAAATTTGCTACTGCAGTAGAAAACAAGTATTAGCTTCGATGCGAAGCTGAGAAGGTTTTGTTTTTACTATAATGTGTTTTTTTTTTTTTTTTTTTTGTCTGTTACCACTTTTTCTCAGCTCTCACCGAACCAATTTCTTTCAATGATACGTCAAAAGATCACAAATCGTATCTAGTCGAAGACATTACCCTCAAAAATTGAAAAAAAATCCCTCGTTCCCCGTAAATGGGGGAAACCTCCAAAAAAATTACAAATTTAAAAATCGCTAATTTTCAAAATTTTTTCAATTTTTTTTACTAAAAACTGCCATAACTTTTTTAAAAATGAACATATCAATATAAATTTTTTTTATATAGATGCATAATATCAATACCTTTCATTTGGTATATATTTTTGTTATATCTGATCCTTTAACTGTCCATAGGGGGGGATTTAAAATGACAACTTTTTTACAAAAAATTAACTTTTTCAACTTAACTTTTGAAAATGTTCCGGAAGGTCTGACACTTTTATATATATCTTAAATTAAAGCTAATGTAATGTACTTTANATCTTAAAACTAATGTAATTAGCTATTAATATATATTGTAATTACATTAGCTATTAAAACTAATGTAATGTACTTTATTATAGTAAAAAAAAATTATATTGATATGTTCATTTTTGAAAAAGTTAGAGCATTTTTAAGTTAAAAATATAAAAAAAAATTATTTTACAAAAATCGTAATTTTTTATTAACTTTGATGTCAACTTTCACCACGAAGACAAGTCCAGAGGTCAAATTTTTTTTTTTTAAATTAAAGTATATTACATTAGCTTTAATTTAAGATATATATAAAAGTGTCAGAACTTCCGGAACACTTTCAAAAGTTAAGTTCAAAAAGTTCTACTTTCTATATTCATTTTTTAGAAGCTCTCCCGTATATAGGGAAATGGTCTGACTTAAAAAAAAAGTATGTCGAATGAAATATGTATATAAATACTACTTGTCATGAAAAAATTGTATTGATCCAAACATTTTTCAAAAAGTTATAGCATAATAAAGTTAAAAATGTAAAATACAAAATCGAAAATTCTCACACAATAATAGCATTTGGTAGCCAATTTCACCGTGTAAACAAAATAAAGCCCAAAAATTTTTTTTTAATATTTAAGTATATTACATAAGCTTTAATTTAAGATATATATAAAAGTGTCAGTATTGCCGGAACACTTTCAAAATTTAACTTTTTGTGAAAAAGTTGTCATTTTGATTCCTCCCCTGTGAGCTGGTAATAGGTTAAATTTATAAAAAAAAAATACCAAATGATAGGTAAAGACAATAAGCATCTATAAAAAAAATTATATTGATTTGTTCATTTTTGAAAAAGTTATAGCAATTTTAATTAAAAAAAATTGAAAAAATTTCGATAATTAGCGTTTTTTAAATTAGTAATTTTTTCGGAGGTTTCCCCCATTTACGGAAAACGAGGGAAATTTTTTTAACTTTTGAGGGTAATGTCTTTGACTAGATACGATTTGTGTTCTTTTGACGTATCATTGAAAGCAATCGGTTTGGTGAGAGCTGAGAAAAAGTGGTAACAGAGACAAAAAAAAACACATCATAGTAAAATTAATACCTTCTCAGCTTCGCATCGAAGCTAAAAGAAAACAGAACCAAAAAGGATCCACCAGTAAAGGCATACGTCGGAAACGGAACAGAACGCATATTAGTAATATCTATTCGGCGGCTGTCTTGTGTCGTAACACAGTAAAAATGATAAAGGTAAAAGAGTAAATGTGCAACTATGTGTACGAAGATGAATATGAGGAGGTGGTGCCTGCTGTCTAGGTATTCACGTGCGTGTTGTCGTACAGCAGACACCGTGCTCGGCTGACACTCCGGGTTAGCTGTGGGTGTCGAAAGGCTGTTGTTATAGGAAGGGAGAATAAGAGTAACACCTAGGTATGAGGTGCAGACGAAGTGCAAGACACAAATACCAGGTGTACGCAAAAGGAGCCCAAAGTATGAGGTGCAGACGAAGTGCAAGACACAAATACTTGGAGTATAGGAGAGGACAATGAAGCACGAGGTGCAGACGAAGTGCAAGACACGAGTACTTTAGTTATTAGGAGAGGATAATGAAGTACGAGGTGCAGACGAAGTGCAAGACATAAGTACTTCAGAGAGAGAGAACGGGGTAGCCGAGTATACGGTGCAGACGAAGTGCAAGACACAAATACTAGGCGTACCAGGTGAGGAAAGATAACAGAGTACGAGGTGCAGACGAAGTGCAAAACACAAGTACTCTGAAATGTCGAGGAAAAGAGTATATAGGTTAGAAAAGGAATAAACAAAGACTTTACTTTAAACAGTAAGCCGGACAGCGACAACCGAGTACTGAGACTGATGAATGACACAAGGCACTGGAGTCGACTGACCACGATGGTCAGGTCTATTGGGTTTTTATAATAATTACACCTATTGCCGATTTGGCAATAAATATTATTTGTTAATTCACCAGTCTCAGNCTATTGCTGATTTGGAAATAAATATTATTTGTTAATTCATCAGTCTCAGGCAGCGGATGTGCTGTCTGTATTTTATTAAAATAATTCTCACGATTATGAAAACGTGACACCATCACACTTGTCACGGTGTCAAGGGCGGGGAGACACCCGATAACAACCGATTGTCATATTGATAGATGGACGGCTGATATTATGAGTAACACGAGCACACGGCAGCCTCGAAAGTAACGCGGTGCCGTGTCAAAGTGAATGAGCTCGTCAAGATTAATCTGGGAAAGTTATGTTTGGAGATCAGAAAGAAATTTTTAGCACTCCGTGAATGTTTAAAAATTTTGGCATGTCTTGATAAAAAATTAGTCGCCATCGCCATGTGCATAATTTTTATCCAGAGATCGTTTTATGTGTGCGTAACACAATTTTGTTTTTATTTTATGTTACGTTAAAAGAAAATACAAAAAATACTGTAATTCAAATTTTAATTTAATGATTGTAAAGTTTTCTTTTGTATAACTGTTATGATAAATAGTAATTAGTTGGTTATTATTAAGTATAAGTTTGAATATATATTTGTATTTGTAGTTATATTGTTAAGGCACTAAGATATTATATTATAGGATATGTTTTTCTAATATCTATTGTTTTATGGTACTGAATCTATAGTATATTTGATCTCTACATTTAAAGTATAATTGTTCATTGGAGTTTGACATAATCATGAATTCCTGTATCCAACAACTATTAACATTAATTGCAAATAAGACAATGTTATCATCAAATTTTTAGTTATCAACTAATTATCATTTTCATTGGCGCCTAATAAAAATTTGTATTAAGGTATTAGATTCTAAAACATTAATTCAAATTTATATTTATGTTCCTTTATTTAAAATTCTATATAATAGTAACTAATTTCAACCTATGACGTCATAACAGAATATTATTAATGATTTTGATACCAAAGATAGTATTATTATTGAAATATTAATAATAATATTTAAATAACAACAAGTAACAAATATCTACAATCAATTTTACTATTCACTTTTTATGAATTTTACTCATTTTAATAATTAAACGTTTTTTATTTTTCGATTTTTCTACCNATTTGTATTTGTAGTTATATTGTTAAGGCACTAAGATATTATATTATAGGATATGTTTTTCTAATATCTATTGTTTTATGGTACTGAATCTATAGTATATTTGATCTCTACATTTAAAGTATAATTGTTCATTGGAGTTTGACATAATCATGAATTCCTGTATCCAACAACTATTAACATTAATTGCAAATAAGACAATGTTATCATCAAATTTTTAGTTATCAACTAATTATCATTTTCATTGGCGCCTAATAAAAATTTGTATTAAGGTATTAGATTCTAAAACATTAATTCAAATTTATATTTATGTTCCTTTATTTAAAATTCTATATAATAGTAACTAATTTCAACCTATGACGTCATAACAGAATATTATTAATGATTTTGATACCAAAGATAGTATTATTATTGAAATATTAATAATAATATTTAAATAACAACAAGTAACAAATATCTACAATCAATTTTACTATTCACCCTTTATGAATTTTACTCATTTTAATAATTAAACGTTTTTTATTTTTCGATTTTTCTACCTTATTTTTTTTTTCTTACTAATTCTGAAATAACACTTTTTTTTGAAAACACATATTGTGCCAGACTATGCTGGGCACAATAAGTGTTTTAAGTACTGCATTCGGAGTATGTGATCTATCCGTAATGACAATGTGAAGTGTTCTGGGTCTGAAGCAGAGCCCACCGAGATGGATCCTATTAATTCCTATATAAATGAAATTTGTTGCAAGTATCATTTGCAATATATATTTTTACGTTTATAAAAACTTTTTACACAAATATACGAGAAAGCATTTTAAATTAAAAATTTTAAAAATACATCATCTTGATTACCTTTGCTAATAAGTGTATGAGAAGTTTTGTTCATGTTTGTTATACAAGGAAGAGATGTCTTTGACATTAAGTTTTTCACATGAAGATTGAAATTTTTTTTATTTAAAAATTTATTAATTTTTTCTTGAAAAATATATAATTCATTTGTTTTTTTACAATTTTCGCAAAATTCATTCATCGAAGAAAGTAATACTGAGTCATCTAGGTATTCTAAACTGAATTTAAGTGTATCCTTCTTTTGTCTTTTGAGTCTTGCTAAGTCAATGAGTCGTTTTGCAAAATTATATTGCCAAGGATTAACAACAAACTTGCCATAAATAAAAAATGAAATCATCCTAACTACGTAAACAGATGCATCTAGAAAAGTTATTTTGAGAGTATGATTAGGATTTAAATTTTTTATCCTAATATCGTTTTTTAACACTTCTAAAATTTGAAGACATAAAAATGTGTGAAAACACTCTAAAGACTCTAATTCTTTTTTTAATTTGTTTAAGCTTGATTCTTTTTTTTGTCTACATTCGTAATTATCTTCACAAGATCTTGATAACAACTTAATGTCATCTTTATTTATAAATGAATGTTTAATAAATCTTTGATTTTTTTCACAGACAAATGATTTGATATTATTATTAATAGTAATTATAACTTGTAAAAATGAATCGTCAAATATGGTATCATAATCAGGTGGCTGAAATCATTATGTAAGTTATCGTCAAAAAATAAAAGTAATAATAATAAAACAAGCAGAGTAAAGTTTTAATTGAATTTCAAAATGGCAGATCTGAAAGATTCCAGAGTCAATATTTATCGAATATTTTTTCGGTAAATAATGTGTTCACATATGACATAACAAGTTGACATCTCAAAAGGCGTAAGGGATTAACTTAAAAAGTATTACATAGTTAATAATTCAAAAATAATGTGAAACTAAAGAAAAGAAAAAAAAAATGTTTAAATTATATTTATTTTGTAAGTAATTGAGTGAGTTATAATAAAAAAATCATTCAGTAGACAGCTCTATTTTTGGATTCTTTTGTATTTACATAAGTAATGAATTAATCTTGAAATTATTTTCACAATATTAGTTAGGAATTAGTCAATATAAAAAAAAAAAATAGCATTTTTATCTAATTTTTGTCATGACATAGTGAACATAAAAGTGTTAAATCTCTTAAAGGGATTGACGAGGGGAAATTAAATGCCTTCTTTTTAAAACACCTTTTCTATTTTGTTATTATTATGTTATTAATAACAATCGAATCAACTTCTGTGTGGAACATGAAAGACTTTTGAAATCGATGTTATCAAGCCATATTATTGGATCTTTTAAAAAAGACAATAATTATCATTTAGATATTTGTTGTAAAGACATTAATTATTGTTTTTCAATTTTATTATTATTTTACTCATTTAAAATTCTTATTTTATGATTTTATAAATTAAATATTTTGTAACTATACTCCTGTGGAACCTCGTCTGATCAGTGCTTATTCGCTGGTAAGGGTTCCAAATATTAGTTCTTACTTTATTAAGCCCATAGTTTTACAAATATTGGCGTATATAAATTAATTTGACGAAATAAAAATTGGTTTTAAATTTTATTTTAAAATTAATTATTTTATTCCCACTTCAATTGAAATTAAATATCTTGATTTTACCCTTGACAGTAAACTTTACTGATTTCACATTATCCATTTTAAAATAATAACTGTAAACCAGTGTTAAAAAATCAATCTGAATAATTCGATTAATTCAATTTTTTTTCAATGAACACTTTATGTTTATTCTTTTTTTCGATGTACTTGGTTTTTAAATCAGACCATTTTCCTTTATGAAGGGAGCGTTAAAAACATTAAATATACGAGTAAAAAATAGAATTTTTTCAACTTAAATTTTGAAAATGTTTCAGAAATACTCCGAGCTTTAATATATGCCAATTAAATCTTATGTTAAATACTATATGATTCAAAAAAAAAATTTGTCTCGACACATATTCTTTTATGAAGCAATAGCCGCTGAATTGAATCAAAAATGTAATATTTATTTAAAAATCAAAGTTTATTGTGTTATTATTTTGATTTTTAAAATTGCCAAAACTTTTTAAAAATGAACAAAGCAATGTAATTTTTTTATATCGAAACCTTAGTTTTTTCATTTGTTTTACATACAGATCAATAAATTAAAAATCTGACTTTTACTTATCCACAGGGTGTATTTAAAATAGAACCTTTTGCACACAAGTCAAATTTTTTCAACTTATTGTCAGCTTTTAACATATGTAAGACTTATGTTACGAACTTAAAATATAAAAAACAAAAATTTGTCCAGAAGAATATTTTCTATGTGCGGTTTTTTAAAGCATGCTATTTTTGTGTTCAAATTTATTTATTTTTTGTTCATATTAAAAATAAATACAAGAGTTTGTCATAATAAGTAATGATTTTTATACATATATAAATTTAAACTTATTTTGAATATTTTGCCTCCACTAAGTTAAGAAAAACGTCTTTCAATTTTTGAACTAGCTTAATTTTCATACTATTTTATTTGCTATAATGAATATTTATTCATATATTGCACTTATAAATCATAATAGTTGTAATCGGGATTTAAATAAATAAATAGTATTTAATTTGGTTTTTGGAAATAATTCAACTATTTATTTTAAAAATTAATCACTATCTACAGTTTTGTATCGAAGGGTTTCTTGTGATAGTAATTTTAATCACTATCATATATCATCTATACTTATCCACACTGTGCCGTGATTCCATTTAGCTACTGTATCTATTCTTTTAATGGAAACAAATGTTAACTAATATTCTTTCAATACATCAGCGCCGGAACTTAATGCACCACCAGGTATAAATATTTTTGAATCTTGTTTTGGCCAGGCTAAAGGAAGCTTTAAAAAGTATTGATATCGATCTCTCAATAAAATATTCTCTTTCAAAAAGATACTTTTTCAATAAAAATGTACTAAAGGTACATTATTAAAATTATATTTATAGTAAAAATACAGAGTGTATAGAATCTTATACATATAAAATAGATTTGTTACACAATCTCCTATTGTTGTGAACTGGCTTTTTGCTGCCTAATTGTAATTGTGTAATTTAATAGTATATATATTAATCATGGGAACGGAAACCTCTTTTGTCTTGTATATAAAGTATTTACCAGGCAAGCATCTAGTCCTTCTAGAACATTCGATGCTTGCTCAGCCCTTTTCAATGTATTGGGCCTACGGCCGCCGCCGCCTGAGGCGACGCGCCAGTAGTAGTCAGCTACTCGTTCAAGAGTCATATAGTTCATAGGGTCGAACCTGGACGACTCTCCACTGAATCACTTTCACTGAATCTTTTGTTAATTTGCTCACTGAATCTTTTATATTAATTAAGTATCAACTCATTAAAGTCGAGAAGTCAATTATAAGTGTAAACATATTTTTAAATATAATAAATAGCAACTAATTATCAAACGCATTATCTTTGCATTTTGTCTACCGTACCAACCCGGTCACAACACTATATTTAAAATAAAATCGTTTTTATAAGCAGTCATATTGACTATATAACTTGTAGTACTTTTCACGCTACACGTTGTATAAGCCTGTGAAACAGAATAAAATTAAACATCAACGTTTTATTGTTTCAAATACCATTACGTTACTTAGGTTATAAAGTAATGACCAGTAATAAACCATTAAGATAAATTAAAACCCATTTTTATTTATATTATTACGCATTTTATACTCTTAAATATTCTGCTATATATCACCATATATTATATTATTCTACTATTATACTACCATATTTTATTTTATACCATTTTTTTAACTCTTCTGTTTTATCTTTTATGATTTATTATGCTAATTTATTATTATCTCAAAAATTTAAGTTAATAGAAAAAAACTAATTGCTAATTTTAAATTAAATTAAAAATTTATTATATGGTCTAAATGCTGAATATTCAAAAAAATATTCTGTTTCATCAAATTATTATTTTTATTCACGCCAATATTTGGAAAGCCATGGGCTTATAAGACAATAGATTAATATAATAACGAATGATTTAATATTTAGAACACGTACTGGAGAATAAGCGCAATACTTGGGTTAATTATGGAATTTGGATCATTATTATTTTAGCAGGACCCTCACATACACACATCATAATATCTTTGTATTACTGTCCATTTTCATATAACAGAATATATTTTTATTTATGTTTGTATATTCTGTAGTTCGGACGAACTCAAAACATTTTAGAATCTTCTAATTTGCAAAGAAAATTTAAATGTTAAAATATTTAAAATTATTTTTGTACATACTTGTATTTCTGGGCTAGCATTTGAGTTGAAAAATATTTGTGCTGATATAAGAATAACGAAAAGACACGTTATCAAGTTAAATGTATTACAACGATTTTTAATCATTCTTTTAGTTTTTTAAAAATACTTAATAGTATATATTGAAGTTTTATAAAACAACTTTCTGAACAAGTTCCTGCATATATAACTAATAGCTTTCAATTAATCTCTTACAAAAGACTTATGTATAAATTGTATTTTTAAATTTTTTAAATTTTACTAATAACATAATACCTTGATTTATTCCAACCTTATTCAATTAAATAAATAGGAATCGTCTATAGTGCTATTTTTAACAAATAAAGTATGTGTTTTTAGATTATTAAAAATACATCGCCCAAATAAAATGTGTTTTATGTTCATGATGAAAAATAAAACTATAAGGAAATAAATTTAAAAGTTTCTAAAAGTGACAAACAAACGTTGTATTGCAGTGTATTACTGAATTCAGGGTCAAAGTTTCATAAAATAACATATGGTTCAAAGTTTACATTTACCAAAAAAATTATGTTAGTCTGTCATAAGTATAAATCAAAGCAATCAAAATATAACTATCCAGGTAACAGCAACAATTAAATCCCGAAATTCTGATTAAGGTCCACAGTTAAATTTTTACGAATTACCAAAATTTAACGAACATACCAGTTTTGTTAATTAAATCGTAAATACTGAATATTTCAGTAAAAGCTGTGTTGACACATCCATAGTTTTATACCGTGAAAAAGATTAACATGATATTAGGTCCAGAAATATTTTTAAAATTAATGTGTGAGAGACAATTACATTTTGTATCACAATGTCCTAACATACAACAAAAGACACAATTTGGCTAGATAGTATCCGGTCCGACGTCTTGATCGCCTAGTTCTGACAGCAGTATATTTATTAAAAATATTACGCAAATACTTTATTTAGAATATAAAATTTCTGAATTTTGCGCCTAGATGAAGTCATAGAAAGTAAAGTATATTCAGTCAACAAGAAGCTGTGTAAAAAACATTTCTATCAAAATTTTAAGTGTGATAAAGAAGGGCGAGTTATGTTGACATTCAAGGACGCAACATTCAAAAACTAGGGTACTTTTATAATATCGCTTTTCTAAACTATCTATATTATATTCTATAATATAAAAACAATTTTATCATTAAACACATCGATTTCAGTCCATAACGGAATTAATGCGAGAATGTAATACATTTTTAAATAAATACCTAAAGTTAATACAAGAAAAAATTAGGAATAAGTAAAAGAAGTAGATATACAATTTATTACATCATCTTTTCTGACCACTTCATGATTACTTATATAAGCTAATACAAAGGACAAAAAGTGCCCAGAAACGTGTATTGCTATAAAAAATGATATGTATGAGAACGATGTTAAACTAATTAAGTTAAAACACTGGCAGTTAAATATAAAGTGGAATGATAAATACTCGGTCAATTTCGGCAGGAGTGGATACAGTACTGTATGCAAATTTTAAATTTAAACATGTTATCTATAATACATTTGATTTCATGCATATATGAATTACAAAATATTAAAGTGCATCGTTAAAAATGACTTGCAGGTAATAATTTTTTATGATTTATCTATTGTCAGTCGATATTCTTCCTTATCAAAGATTATAACATACAACAAAATCCTTTCTGAAAAGACTTTTAATATTTTAACTAAATGTACAAAACACACTGTGTATAATAAACATATAATGTTAAATGATGATAGTGCTATAGTGAAAAAAATGATACAGTATTAATGCTATCGAAAAATTTCCAGTCAAAAAACATTGTATATAATTAAAGTTAAATTATTAATTTTGGCCGTAGTATAATTTTTTTAGCTTTTAAATATATCTCTAAAGCGATGGTAAACTAAAAAAAATAAAGTTGTATAATTGGATGACTTTTACTGGAAGTAGACTAAATCAACAACTAGATTTTATCATTTATTGTTTATCACTGTTATATTTTGACTTATACTTCTACTTTGACTCGTCCCTACCTTATTTAATCTTGTTATGGTAATATAACTAGATAGATGCTATATTATCATAGTATTTTATTTTTAATTTATGAATATTTAAATGACGAATTTACTGACTCATGTTATAATTAGAAGCGCCTAACTATTTTAGTTGTTGTTTTATTTAGACATAATATATTTTTACAATAATTTGTTAATTCATTAATTCAATTAACATATGAATGTATAATAATTTATTATGTTTTAGCAATATTAAACTTCTTAAAATATTGAGGATTTATTATTTCAGGTAACATAATGTTTTCGTAAAAGTCAATGAGACTCTTTTCCATATTATCGTTCCAAAAATTGTCATCTCGTAGAATTTTACAATAAACTATTCCTAAAAATAAAAAAAAACTAATAGCATTTTATAGAAAAAATATTTTTTAATTTCATGTTTCGAATCACATTGTAAAGTGATTTTTTTATATAAAATATTAATTAAATTGTTTCTAGTTTTCGTGAATATGGAATCTTTTAATAATTGGTTAAGCATTGACCATAAAATTTGTCATGAATCTAATATTTACACCAGAAGAAATAAGAAATCATTTAAGAAATTACATTGTCGCGGTCGATTGTAAAACAATTATCGTAATCGCAGATCATAATTAAATGTGTATATCAAAAAAAAAAAAACCCCCAGCACAGGGGGGTCGCGGCACAGTGGTGACGTGGTATAGTTGGATCAAGTATAATGATATCTGATAATGATTAAAATACCTTTTGGGGTCCAAATAATTAAATAACAATACTGCCTTTGAGTAATATGCAGTTCTCCTTGTATTTGAAAAAAAATTCGAGAAGTACGTTTTAGTACGAGTTCTTCATTTTCATTATAATGCACATATTTTATCACTTTATCTTTTATAGCTTTTTCGGGAGTCATATATTGGGCCTTAACTGGACATTTTATTTCAATAATACCATCTTTCCCAATTAAACCATCTGGTTTTGCTGTTAAATAGTTAATGTTTCCATCAAAAAATAGACCACATGGTTTAATCTTTGTGTTCATTTTCTTTTCAAAAAGTTCTATTGCGTTGGGCTCATTAACTGTGCCATATTGCACAGCAAACCTATATAATATATATATATATATCATCAAAAGCAAAAAACAGGATATTAGTGTCTTATTAAAAACGCTTGAAACTAAAGTATTAAAAAAATAATATGGGAAAATAATTTTTTTAATATTATTTATTATACTTATTATTACTTACGGGATATTATCTTTGGTATCAGTTGTTTTATTATGAATGCGTAATGTTTTTTTTAAGAATAATTCCTTGTCTTTTGTTTGATTAAATGTACAAACATAGAAAAAATGAGAAGATGATAGATGTGTTTTACGTACTTTTTCCCACAAATTTTTGTGAACGAAATATATTTCATTTTTCTTAAATGTTTCATCGTCATATTTATTTAATTTTAAACTTTGTAGTAAAACTTTTTTAATATTTTCGTAGTCTTTATCGATAACCACTTCCTTTTGATTAGCTGCTCCATTATTGGTAAAATGAAAAACAAATTAAGGAAACATGAAATGAAATTACTTTTAATATTTAAACGATAAGATCAATACAATGAAAAAGAATCATAATAATAAAAATAATTAGTTTGTATACATTTTTTGTTTAAAATTAAGTTATGATTTAATTGATGAACAAAAATTCAAAGCAACGTTCCTCTGTAAAATTTTTAATAAATATTGTGTAACGTAAAGGGATTTCACTTACAACAAAAAAATGTTAGATGTATCATCACAGTTATCTAGTTCAAGTTGCGTGCAACGACTTATGCTGCCGTTTTTCGTTAAAAAAGGATTTGTATGAAAATATAATTACTCAGCTTATCATGCTGTATTAGATTGAAGTATTTTAGCTCAATAACAAGCAAAAATGAATCATTAAGAAAATTGATAGTAGAGCTCCAAGTTATCATAAAATTATAATACAGCATACATAGTAATAATAAAAATGAAAATATTATTAATATACCGGTCTGTAGTACAGTAAAGATGCATAATTTAGTTAATAAAAAAAAACAGCTTTGTGAAGATACGACATAGTTAGTAAAAGTATAAATATTATTTGACAGTGATTAAAAGCACTATCATAAATACCGTTTCGATTCAAATAAGTAGATAATGTTTAATTTTTAAAATGAATTGGTGGATTATTTCAAAATCAGCATAAAATCCTATTTTCTTAATTATATCCTGTACATAAGTTATATACGTGGGTAAGTTATTCGTGAAGATGCGAAAAAAATTTTAGCACTCCGTGAGCATAAAAATATTTAGGAATCTATTGATAGAAATACTATTTTAATTGATAGCGTGTTTCGATTTAAAACCTGAAATGCTAGAACAAATAGGTTTGGTTTTTTCGTAAAATTATATTTAAATAGGTAAAATTTTTTGAAAGTACCAAATGTAATACTTAAAATTTCTTTGTACCTTAAATTTGTAAAAGTACTACAATACATTTTTTTCTCTAATATACAAAAAAGTTTGTATTTTAAATATTTAAATTTCAATAAATTCCAAAAAAAATTAATGTTACATTCCTAAACACATGCAGGGTATTTAGGGATATAACACTAATTTTATAATTCATAAATAGGTAGAATTTTTTGCAAGTATAAAATGTGATATTATTTACTTTTATAAATTTATTAAACTTCATTCATCAACATACGATAATGTTTGTTTGTTTAATAAATTTTATTAGTAGTATTACATTATTTTATACCTTTGTTAATAAGTGTTTGAGAAGTTTTATTCATTTTTATTACTAAGGAAATATGTGTCTTTGACAATAAATNTATTACTAAGGAAATATGTGTCTTTGACAATAAATTCTTCACATATCTTTTGAAATTTTCTTGATTTAAAAATTTTTTACTTTCTCCTTTGAAAGTATTAAATGATAATAAAATAATGGATTTCAAAAAATCATTACTTTTTTTACAATTATCGCAAAAGTCATTCATTGATGATAGTAATGCAGAATCACTTAAGTAATTTAAACTGACATCAAATGTATTCTTGTTTTGAGTTTCAAGTCTTGTTAAAACAATAAGTAGTTTTGCAAAATTATATTGCCAAGGGCTAACAATAAACTTGCCATAAATAAAAAATGAAATCATCCTAACTGCGTAAACAGATGCATGTAGAAAACTTATTTTAAAAGTATGATTAGGATTTAAATTTTTTATCCTTATATCGTTTTTTAACACTTCTAAAATTTGAAGACATAAAAATGTGTGAAAACACTCTAAAGACTCTAATTCTTTTTTTAATTTGTTTAAGCTTGACTCTTTTTTTTGTCTACACTCATAATCATCTTTACAAGATCTTGATAATAACATTATGTCATCATAATTTATAAGCGAATGATTAATATATTTCTTATTTTTTCCACAGACTAATGATTTGATATCATTATTAATAGTACTTACAACTTGTAAAAACGAATCGTCAAATATGGTATCATAATCAGGTGGCTGAAATAAAATTGTAAATTATTGACAAAAAGTAAAAATAATTGGAATAAAACAAACAATTTAAAGTTTAAACTTGAAGTTTTATCTAAACTGGGGCGTGTGTTAACTGATCTAAGTAACAAAACGTTTTTTCGTAAAATTAATAAAAAAAGATTCCATTTTACAACAACTAGCTAATGACAATTTAATCTTTGGGTTATTTCGTATTTACACAATAAACTAAAAGTTCTTGATGCTGAATTTTTTCATAGTATTGGCAAAAAATTAATCTTCATTAATACAAAAAAAAAATAGTATCGTATAACCATATTTTAGTTACGACATAATATACCTAAAAGGGATAATTCTTTTAATTATATTAAGTTTAATTAATACCTATCTTCACATCGAAATTTTTTTTTCTATTTTGTTATCATTAAATTATTGTTTAAAATTAAATTAACCTAATGAAACATTAATTAAATTTTGATTCTTTGGCATAAAACTATATTTTTAGATTATGATCTACATTCACCTTTATATTATAAAGGCTAACGTAATTATAATTTTCATATCTGAAGTATAGACATTAATTATTATGTTTAAAATTGATATATATCTACATTAGGGTATTCCTTATTTTGAAAATTTTGTAAATTCTTCGGGATCACCCCCCAAATTTGTATGTATACATATAAAAAAAGGCTACAAAAGATTTCAGGCTGATCAGATAAGTTTAACCCGTGCCGACTTGGGGTTGAAAATCGGACAAAAGGGGTACTTTTTTAGTTTTTAGCAATTAACTCGTAAATTAGCGCTCTCAAANGGGGTAATTTTTTAGTTTTTAGCAATTAACTCGTAAATTAGTGCTCTCACAAAAAAAATATTTAAACTAAATTGTAGATCTAATTGTTTTGTATAAATTAAGTTCTTACAGTTTTTCTTTTAAATCTATTAGTTTTCTAGAAAAATATCAAAATACATAATATTTTGTAAAATTGCCGAAATTAGCATATTTATGAATATTTTATCATATACGACGAACCATATGTGTTACGACCTAATGTTTCATGCAAAAATTGTTTAAAATTAAATTTTACGAAATAAAAGTAATAAGTATAAATTTCATTTAACCGATCTTTTTATTGTTATAGCTGAAACAACTCGATCAAATTACGATTTTTACTAAATATATGAATTTTATTGATTAATTTAAATATATTTCATTTATATTGTAATGTGATGTATTTGTTTGACTTAATCGTATAATTATACTTACTTCTCAATATTATTGTATAAATAAAAAAAAAATTACTACATAAAATACAAAATGTTAAATTCAAAATAATTCACAAATTATAACAAAAATATACATTAAAAACTATGTTTTAATGTTTCTTTGATGCAAATAGGATATAATTTTCTATGCTCTTGGACACAGCGTAAAAGTAACTCAGCTTTTTCATCGTTTACAGTTATACTTTCATGAAAATCTTCCATTAGCTTAACCGCTCTCTCTGCAGAGTCATTTACTACTTTAATTGAACATACAACTTCTTTTCCGTGTAAATAAAAATCATCAGTATTCCAATTACTAGGATCCAAATTTAAAAAATTAGTATTGATATCGAATAATTTAAAAAATATCATACTGTTTTTTGACAAAAAAGAAGCTACAGTTTTTTCTAAAAAAAAAAATTAATCGCTCAATAGTCATCAAAAAATAAAGATATCAAAAATTATTATGCCTGAAAATGATTTGTCTATATCACTCGATGAAAGAATAAAACGTTTGCTAAGGTTTATTATTGACTCATTATTAAGGGATACAACCATTAATTTTTTTATTTCGGTTGAAATGGAATCGTCAAAAAATGTCAGAGCAGCTGTTTCCTCTGTTAAGTACCATAAATGATTACAAATTTTGTTTAACGCTGCTTTCGCAATTAACGGTTGTTTTTTTTCATATAACTTTAATTCTTTGATAAAATTTAAGTCGTTATTCGGAGCTTTGGACGGTTCAATACAGTTAAACCAGACTTTTAAATAAAATCAAATAATAAAAATACATATATCTCGAATAGCATTTATTTCAAAAGTTTTTAGTAAATACTGTTTTCGGTATAACTAAATCTTTAAGCAATATATTGTTCTGCTCATTCAACAAGCTTAGTGCATGGATCCAGGAGGGTGTATTTTAATTTTTTTATCTGAGTCACCATTTAAAAAAATTATAGATAAGTCGAGCAATTCTTTATAATCATCTCTAAAACATCCAATTTGCAACCTTTCCTTAGAAAACTGGAGAATATCATTTCGATAATTTTCAAGTGCAGAGCAACATTCGACGTCATCTATTCCACAGATCGTATTAGAACCATAAATATTATACCAATTTTTTTTAAAGTTTTTAAATATGGGAATATCAGGGCTTAATGTTACCTAAAGAAATTTTGTTTCACAAACACCACGTAAAATACAATACATCTTTCTCTAATTTTTGCTCTAGTAAAATATACGAACCCTTTAAACGTCCCATATTAGATGCGGTGGATCGCAGCATAGAGCTTGGACAATATTTAATAAGCCCCAATCGTCTAACGCACAATAAACAGAATTAGCGTGTTCATACTCCGTCGAATTTTTTAGTTTCGATTTACCAATTAATAAATCTAGATTTTTACTAAATATCACAATTGGTAACCTATTAATATCCGAGTCTCTTACATTTAAAGTTGGTAAAATCTTTCTATCCCAATGCAGAGTGACATACATAGGAGAACTACTTTGACATTTTTTTTTTTATTAAATTAGCCCGTTCAATTCGCATAGCATCACGGCATCTATGTATTGAAGACTTATTTATAATAAGAGAATCGACGTCATGACCTAAAGCTTCAACTGTTGCTTGAATAATTATTTATTATTTTACATCGATCTAACGCAGCTACGAGTTTTGGTGTTCTGATATTTCTTTGACCCCTTTTATTCTGTTTTACTAAAACATTCAAAGATTTTTCATTCCCAGATTCTATAGATGAAGAAGAACTTATAATTATATCATCTGATAAATAAGGTATACTTTGCGTAGAATATGAAGTAGATGAACCGGCTACTTGGTATTCACTAAGCCTTTCTGATTCCCTAATCTTATGCTTTTTAGATCTCTCTTCTTTCTCTTGACATTTTTCGTCGATGCCACCTAGACAACCAATTCGACCAGGAAGTCTTTGGTTCATTAAAAATTGTTTGTCGGTAACTACCTTAATCAAATTTAAAGCATCGGCGTGAGCGATATCAAACAAATTATCAAAATTATTAATAAACTCAGTTTATTTTGCTCTAAACGTTTCTTTAATTTTGCAAGAATTCTTATGTAAAATGCGCCACTTGTCATAAAATTAACAAACTTATTTATACATTAGTGAAATGATCGAGTAGAAATTCGAGCTTTTTCCCAGAGTATATTACACTCGCGAATAGTCAATGCTGCACTTGCTCTTATAGTAAGATTAACAATTCTTAGGTTATAAAAAAAAACTTTTAGAACTTGGATGGAAGCTTTGAACCTAAAATTTAAGTAGTCAAAGACCTTATTGAAAATATTTTATTGTCATTTCGTAATACTACGGACATTTTTACGTACACTAAAATAAAAACACAATAGGAAGCAGTTCAACTTAATACGTGACGTGAGTAACTAATGTAGTATAAGTATGAGTTCACTATACCTATTTCTGCGATTTGTAATAAATTTACGATTTCCAGAGTTATTTATAATTTAAAAATAATAACAATACATTAATTAATTAATTTCGAGTTCTTGAGGAGTGACGGCAACAAGTTTAACGGCTCATTGTAGGTCACGACGACTGCTCAGTCCATTATATTTCAACATTTTTGTTTTTCAAAAAAAAAAAACGGAGAACATGAAAAACAGAGACACAGTTTGGTTGACACAACAAGTTGATGGCAGGTCGACTCGACGTTATATTTATTAAAAAAAAAAACGGAGGACAAAAAAACGTGGTTTTTACCATAAAAAAATTTGTACACATGAATTTACTGGTCGCCTCGGTAGTATAGCTGTGAAGAAGCGAGTAGTCATGGCATCGTATAGTGGCCGGTGATCGTAACACCGGATGGTGGTGGTGCCAACTTTGAAACTAATCAAATTCTGCAATATTACAGAACCCCCAAATAGATTAAATTATTGAAAATAGGGTAATCTATTTCAAAAGAATGATGAGAGAATTTGTACATAATTTTAGGAAAGAATGAGTAAAAGAATCTTATGTTAAGACGCGAAGAAAAACAAGCATGTTATAAAATATC